ACTCGCCTCGTCCCGCCACCCTCGCCCCTCCCTTTCAGTTTCACACACAGGACGGCACGGTGATGGGTGACACTGTCTGCGTGTCATTTCTCGCTGGCTGTGCCGCTCTTTCCGTCAACACCTCTCACTCTCGTTACTCGTTATGTCAAGCCAACTAGCGGTATCACTTCTCGGTACCGGCCAGTAGTTTAGTGGCCGGGAAGTGATGGGAAGGGCATTGCTCGTGAGAAACAAGTACTGTTCTCGGCTCCTGCCCGCTCCTACCAATCAGACCACAAGGAGTTTCCTAATCCTGAGGCTGCTCTTCTACAAATACAAAATGTGTCTGGACATGGTCCACCTAACTGCCCGTTGTGTGACTGCCAGGATGAAACAGTACCACACCACCTCTTTACCTGCCCTGCACTTAGCAATCTGGGTAGCACCTACCTACCTACCTACCTCCTAAGATATCAGAAATACTTTATACTGCGACAAATCACAGCTGATAAAAACCTGTAAATTTTTTGCCATGTCGCCAGGCCGAAGGGCTAGAACCCAGATGGCAGCTGGATCGGAAAAGTAAAGTAAATCAGGACATGGTGGGTTCAGGCGTTCATCAAATTCTAGACATATGAAATTATTGGTTTTGTCTAAAAACTTGTTCATTTGTCTTGCTTTTGATGGAACAAAATCCCCTCTATCTTGAATAGAAGTCGAGATATTTGCACAGTAGAATTGTAAATGGGCTGATTTATCAATGTCATGCTCATACTGTGCTGAAACAACATAGGGGGAACTGCTGCTTTTTCTTTCCTCATCATTTCTATCGTCATTTTTCCTCTACTTCTTTTGTATGTTTTTCACTCTCTTGTGAACTGCTATTTCCGGGGTGCCTTGACAGTCTAAGCAGACTTTGTGCTGTTGAGGCTAAAGAGGTGAGCAGAGTAAGCCTGATTCCCCGTTAGGACTTCTCTGTTGACATCCACCACCCCTTGGCGCTCATATGACCTTCAGCAGTTGCGAGTGCCGTAAAACCTCTACTAAAACCAACTATTATGACTATTATTATCATCAATGTTATTATTATTATTATTATTATTATTATTATTATTATTATTATTATTATTATCATTATTGCTGTGTTGTGTTATTATGACTACTATTGTTATTATTATTATTATTATTAACAATATCATTGTTATTATTATTGCTTTGTTGTATTATTATGACTACTAATATTATTATTATTATCATTATTATTATTATTATTATTATTATAATTGCTGTTTGTGTTATTTTGACTATTTATTATTATTATTACCGTTTGTGTTATTTTGACTACTATTATTATTATTATTATTATTACTATCATTATCATTATTATTACTTTTTACTACTTAATTACTTACTTACTTACTTACTTACTGACCTCTTACCTCCCCCCCGCATCCCCCCCGTGCCCCCGCTCCAGGCACCATGCTGGAGAGAAGCTGTACAGAGACCAAGGCCAGCCGCAGCCAGCGAGGGACCAGCCTGGACAAAGTCACCTACTCCCGGGCCGTCGAGCTGACCTTGTCGGCCGCCAGGGAGTACTTCGACTCCTCCGCTAACCTCAACGACCCCTGCATGGACCTGGCCAGGTGAGAAACCCCCTCGGGTTGTAGAGAAACAGTTTATTTCAGGGATACCTGTATGTCAGGTGAGAAACACCGCGGGTTGTAGGGAAACGGTTTATTTCAGGGATACCTGTATGTCAGGTGAGAAACACCCCGGGTTGTAGGGAAACGGTTTATTTCAGGGATACCTGTATGTCAGGTGAGAAACACTCCGGGTTGTATGGAAACGGTTTATTTCAGGGATACCTGTATGTCAGGTGAGAAACACCCAGGGTTGTAGAGAAACGGTTTATTTCAGGGATACCTGTATGTCAGGTGAGAAACACCCAGGGTTGTAGAGAAACGGTTTATTTCAGGGATACCTGTATGTCAGGTGAGAAACACCCCGGGTTGTAGGGAAACGGTTTATTTCAGGGATACCTGTATGTCAGGTGAGAAACACCCAGGGTTGTAGAGAAACGGTTTATTTCAGGGATACCTGTATGTCAGGTGAGAAACACCCCGGGTTGTAGAGAAACGGTTTATTTCAGGGATACCTGTATGTCAGGTGAGAAACACCCCGGGTTGTAGGGAAACGGTTTATTTCAGGGATACCTGTATGTCAGGTGAGAAACACCCAGGGTTGTAGAGAAACGGTTTATTTCAGGGATACCTGTATGTCAGGTGAGACACATTTCAGTGACCCCTTTATGCCAGGTAAGTAAGACACATTTCTGTGACCTCTTTATGCCAGGTAAGTGAGACACATTTCAGTGACTTCTTTATGCCAGGTAAGTGAGACACATTTCAGTGACTTCTTTATGCCAGGTAAGTAAGACACATTTCACTGAGCCCTATATGCCAGGTAAGTAAGACACATTTCACTGAGCCCTATATGCCAGGTAAGTAAGACACATTTCACTGAGCCCTATATGCCAGGTAAGTGAGACACATTTCACTGAGCCCTATATGCCAGGTAAGTGAGACACATTTCACTGAGCCCTATATGCCAGGTAAGTGAGACA